GCATAAAATAATAAACAAGAAAAAGGAAAGAGCAAGAGGAGAAGAACCAGATCTTTGCCCTGTGGCGGTCCCGTTGAAAAGCGCAGCCTTTCATGAGAAGATGTGGTTATGGGTCCCACTCTTCAGTGTTTGAAAAACCTAAAATGTTATGGAGCATATCTTTCAACTTGATTGATTTTATGAATGAAATTATGAATATTTATTTTTTATAAGAATCCACAGATTCCAAAGGCCAACGGCAACCCTTCGTTTCCCTTCCACTTCTCCTCCCTGTCGCTCTTTCCTCAGCTTATCATCTATCCTACCCCTCATCTCTTTCCACTTCCATTCACACATTCATACACCTCTGCTTTCTCTTTCATTCACAACTAAATCTATTTTGCTTTCTTCATTTCCTTTTTCTCAAGATCCATTTCGTGTTGCCCCTCCTCAGATTTTGGAATTTCGTTCATTCATGGATGAGCTTTTTCATTTCTTCGGACTACGAGTTTACAACGGTTCGTGCTAACCCTCTTCGTTTTTAACTTTATTCTCAATCCGGCTTCGTCAAATTCTGCAGCTTCTCTGAGAAACGAAAAGGAAGACTCCATCTTTTTGCCTTCTCAACAATACATTCTTTTTCGCGTACGCCGCATCTGGGTATCGATAAGATCGATCTGTTCTTTGGAATATTTAATCTGATTGTTCTCTCGTGATTCTCGACCCGGCTGAATTCTGTGGGATTCGTGTGGTCTGTCAATGGGCGCGTTGGATGAGGGGCATTTCAACGCGGAGCTCGAGAATGGAGTGAAACCTGGATGCGTTGAGCTTGGTTTTGAGGACGAACCAGAGACCATAGCTATTAAGGATGCTGTGAAAGTTCTTTTACAAGGTTTAGGCGAGGATGTCAACAGAGAAGGTCTCAAGAAAACCCCTCTTCGCGTTGCCAAAGCACTACGGGAAGGAACAAGAGGTGCCTACTATTGCTTTCACATTTCTCTTGTAACTCTCTGTTCTTCAGCTTTTCTGTGTTGCTACGCTAGGAATTGTGATATTTAAGATTCACAATTTCTCTGACATCCGTTCTTTTTGCTTCTTTAGTTCATATACTCAACATGTTAAATCTTATTTCTTTGGCCTTTCATTAGATACGGATGGTAGTTTTTATTTACTTAGTTGGTTGGTTGGCTTGTATTTAATATCCACAGGTAGATTGTCAACGTCTTGGTAATTTGCATTTGGGTTTGTATTCCCCCTTCCGGGTTGTGCCTTGGATTCTTTGATCTGGCATCTAGATGCTTTTTGAGGCTGTTTTTTAACAGGTTAGCAAAATGAATTTTACTTGATTGCCTTGTGAGACAAGCCAAGCTACAAACGACAAGAGGGAAAAAAATAGATCTGCTGATGTTTTCTTTTTCTACTACGATGGGCTGGGATTTAGTTTTTGTTTGTTTGTTTTGACTCTATGCTTAAATAATTAACGTTGTTGAGTTTTTTAAACGTCTAAAATGAAGTTGCACTTGCAAGCATACATTATATATAGCCGATTTGAGTCTTAGAGTTCAAGATATTGCTTATGTAATACCGGTCCTACTCTTAATGTCTGTACCAACCAAAAAAGTTCAGCTGGGAGTTCTGTATGGCACAAAATAGCTTGTTAATGAGGTCTTAACTTGGAGGAAGCAATTGGTTAGAATTTTGTCCATAGCTATTCTCTGTACCTGATTTAAGAAAAATCTTTTTTGTTTTTTCTTTTCTTTTTGTGGGAGGTTGTGTTCCTTTGGGTTTGTTTTATTGAAGTGTTGCCCAAATATGTTACTTCCATAGACAGATTTTCTCTTCCTTTTAAATGTATTTTCTGAAGATCTGATATTCAGAAAACCATTTTGGTAGACCACAAGCCTTCAATATAAACGAGAGCAGACCTCCATAACATGCCAGAGTGGAATATTTAAAAATCCTTATAATCAAGTTCAACTTTGTTATCAGTCAAATGAGGTATTCCTTTTCGATGGCTATAAATTACTTCAACTTATAGCTTTTCTTCATGTCAGATATTGTTAGATGTATAAAATTGTTATTAAATAAAATGATCATATTCTTTAATTTTTCAATAAAATGTATATTATAAAAATTTCTCTTGTTTTTTCTTATTTGGAATTGTTGGTACAGAGTTCTCAATGGGGATTAAAGCCATTTCTTCTTTTGTCAGGTTACAGACAAAAGGTGAAGGACATTGTTCAAGGTGCTTTATTCCCTGAGGCAGGGTTAGATAGTGGAACTGGCTATGCAGGAGGAGCAGGAGGCCTTGTGGTTGTCCGAGATCTGGACCTTTTCTCCTATTGTGAGTCTTGTCTGCTTCCTTTCCAGGTAAAGTGTCATATAGGTTATGTACCTTCTGGTCAGCGGGTTGTGGGATTAAGCAAGGTTTCCAGGGTGGCCGATGTGTTTGCAAAAAGACTACAAGACCCACAGCGCTTTGCAAATGAAGTGTGTTCAGCTCTTCACCATTCTGTCAGACCGGCAGGAGTTGCTGTAGTACTTCAATGTTTGCATTTACAGTTTCCAAACATAGAATCAGTGTTTCTCGACTCAAACCATCATGGATGGGTAAAGGTACTGGTTTCTTCAGGTTCAGGGGTTTTCGAAGAAAAAAATGCCAATATTTGGGATGATTTTTTGAGTCTTTTGAAGTTCAGAGGCATAGATGTGGACAAAATTCATACGACAGATTCTAACAGACAGTGTTGGTGCCCTTCCCAGTTGTCGGCAGCTGCTAAACTCTCCTCCATGCTTGGAACGCCTAACCCTGCTATGGATGCTGCTGTTGCTTCAATTCTGAGATCAGTGGGTGAAGATCCACTAAGGGAAGAGCTTGTTGGGACTCCTAGTCGTTTCTTAAAGTGGTTGATGAACTTTCAGAACACTAATTTGGAGATGAAACTAAATGGCTTTGCGTGCAATAAAATGAATCTTGTGAAAACCAATGGTGAAATCTGCCACAGCAATGAACAAATATATTCTGAGCTGAACCTGTCCTTCTGGTCACAATGCGAGCATCATTTGCTTCCTTTTCATGGTGTTGTGCATATTGGGTATTTCTGTGCTGAAGGACTTAATACCTTTGGAAAATCTCTTCTACAGTCAATAGTACATTTCTATGGTTTCAAGCTCCAAGTACAGGAAAGGCTAACCAGGCAGATCGCTGAGACTGCTTCTTCGCTTTTAGGTGGTGATGTGATGGTAGTTGTGGAGGCCAGCCACACCTGTATGATCTCTAGGGGGATAGAAAAGTTCGGAAGTAATACAGCAACCATTGCAGTCCTGGGTCGATTTTCAACAGATGCTGCTGCAAGGGCCAAGTTTCTAGAGAGCATTCCAAAAAGTACTACTTAAAAACAGGAATGGTAGTAAATGTCAAGCTAGTCTTCTTTCTGTTGAAGGAAATCATTCTTTTTGCCTTTTTTTGGTGGTTATTTCAGACTGCAAAGATGCAGGGATAACAGGGATGAGTTCTACAAGTTAAAACAAGCCCATAACCCAGCCTTTTGGATATTGCTGGAGTTATCTACATAGGGACGTGGCAGATTCATCTTTAACTTTCGGACATTGCTGGAGTTAGGATGCGGTAGATTCATGTTAACTGGGAATGGTACCAGAATTGATGATTTGGAGTTCTTTTTTTTCCCTCCCTTAATTATTTTACTCTGTAGCGTAAAAACTTTGAGAGAAAATTTCACGAGCAGCCATCATCTGCATGATTACGATACTGTTTTGTAACTTCTTTTACATTGGCTCTATAGATTCATGAGCAATTGTCAAAACATTGGTGATACCAGTTACCAGATGGAGAAATAAGATATAGATCATTTTTAGATTTCATGTTATATTTCTTGCCTTCCATGATACAAAAAGATACTTCCAACTCTCACCCAATGACTGGGAAGCTATCTTTTCTTTGTGAAAATAGAACAGGGAAAGGCTATGTAATTCAAGCCTCTTATGATACTTCAGAAAAGCACCCTTGTTCATAAAGGATTATAACAAAATTAAATGAATAAATTTATTTGCAAATAAAAATTTAGTATTTGAAATTTATATTTAATTCCACAACTATTTTGTGAATTGTAGAAGCACAAAAGAGTCTAAATATTTCTTTCCCATCAAACCAACCTTATCTTTATAAGAAATAAAACTTAATATACACTTTAAATTAAAAATAATTCCAAACATAGAGATACAAATTTATAAATGATTTTGCACCCCAACTTGATTATGCAATGTGCATTCTAACACGTCTACAAGTCTGCCAGAAGTCCGGATAAGGCCGGTCCTTGGAGTCAATGAACATCAATGTCTTTTCATTATCCTCAACAGGAAATCCATATGAGACGATTATATACATCAAACAATACTTTTGTGTATTACTCGTGCATGTAGATATACATTGAATAACTGCTTGTGTGTGAATATGTATATACATATATACAAGTGTTCATCAACAAGTCTGTAAGTTCTGTGCAAGGAGAACTAGAAGGCATTCAAGCACTAGATAGTAGCAGAATATTGCCTAATCTGACCACAGATGCCGGATAGCATGCCAATCTATATGAGGCTCCGGTTTTGGAATCATACGTTTGTGTGCATGCTGGATACAGCATGCTGCAACCAAGATCCCTAGGATTATAACGAGATAAAAACTTGCTGAAAGACAGGATCTAGAAATCTGCACGTAAAATAGCATCATCAGAACAGGTTTCCAATGTATAGACTGCATAAGATACTATAATGGCACCCAGGATTTAGTGAGACAGGGATTTTCCCAAAGAGAGAATCGAGGAATCGTCAAGCAATGTAGCGTAATCAGCATAGTTTTATATATAGGCTGCATAAGATACTGTAATGATACCTACAAAATACTAGAAAAAGAGGCTGCTTTGAGCATAATTAGGATAGTAAAATGTTTATAAATTGATATGTTAAAGATGATGATTCATAATGAAAGAGAAGAAAGAAAAAAGTAGCATCTGAAGGATCCTATGAATTCACAAATTCAATGGAATTTCAATCAGATAAGATCATATGAACAGAAAATCTTAACCTTCACAGTTCAGTTTTACCAAAATTTTACTCTAAACTACCTCATCTGAGTGAAAATGGTTGCCACTTCACAGACCCTTAATACAAAGTATATTCATCAGCACCAAAGAGGTGCCACCTGTACACAATATTTATATGTCAATCAAAATGTTTATAAGATCTCCAATATTCGTACTTAAATAATATGGATGACCTCTTAATACAAAACTCAAGTAGGAAACCACATTTTTTATATTGTCAAAGTTAGATTCAATGCCACCGAACACCCTTCTATTCTGCTCTTTCCAAATCATCCTAAAAAGATAGCCAACAATATGAGTCTCAATCTCTTATCTCCGTGAATAGTGGTCCAAGCACATAACTCCTCCTTCACATATCCAGCAATGAGTCAATCCCAAACCCAAAATACTCCGAGCCAAACACCATAGTCAATGAGCAAACAGACACCATAAAAGAATATGATTTTAGGACTAAGCTTCTCTCATACATAGGTAGCAACCATTTACAAGAACTTTCCCTCTCTTGATGAGGTTGTCCAGAGTTAGAATGCATCCTTGGATGGCCTCCCATGTGAAAAAAGTGTTCCTTGGAGTTGTTTTTACTTTCTAAATCAACTTGGCAGAAAAATTCACCTCCTCTGGCTTATCCTTACGAAAATGATCATAATCAGATTTCACCAAGAAAACGACCTATTACCTGTGGACCGGCCCCTTCATAACAATAATAGCATCTCCAAAATGTTCATATACGCTGGGATTCTCGATCATTTAAGTTTCAGTTCAGCTTAGCCCACCGGTCCTCATTATTGCCTCGCCCTATCACATAATCCTTTTCGGTGGCATCCCTGTCAAGTGCAACTGTGTAACACAAAGCACCCTCTCCATCCAGTCATCTCTCCAAAACCTCACTCTGTCCCAAGCACCACGCTGTACATAATACACTCACAGAAATCTTCTTTCTCCCTACTGATTCTCTTCCACAGACCCACCCCTGGGAACTCTGGAGAACAATCCATGCCCATCCACCCTGTGTTTGACCTCAATAATTCTCCTCCAAAGACCCTCCTGCTCCATCATAAACCTCCAAAGCCACATTCCTTTAAGGGCTCTGTTCAAATCTGTCAAGGATCTCAAACCCAAACCATCCTAGTGTAGTGGTTGTTTCACCTTGTTCCAGGTCACCAAGTGATAGTTCTTGTTTCCTACTGTGTTGTCCCAAAGGAAGTTAAGTTGGATTTTCTCCAGTCTTTTAGGCACTCTGACAAATGTTATTGAGATATAAACAGCAATGGAGAAAGTGGATCTCCCTGTCTCAAACCTCTAGATTCTTTAAAGAAAGCAGAGGGTCCTTCATTCAACATATTTGCAAACCATACAAATGTATCACAAGCCTTAATCCAACTACACCATTTATCACTGAAACCCAGCCTATCCAACACGTAAAACAAAAACCTCTAGGCCACATGATACTAAGCTTTTTCCATATCCAACTAGCATAAAACACCACTCTTTCCATTTTTAAGAGGCCATCAACAACCTTATTAGTAATTAAGGCTGCAATTAGAATTTGTCTTCCTCCCAGAAAAGCAGGCTGACACTCACCCACGACCTCCCCAACACTTTAAAGTCAAGACTTTTGCTATGATCTTGCCCACCCTACCCACCGAAACTATCGACCTGATATCCTTGATATTTGACGCCCCTTCTGTCTTTGGGATTAGTACCAGGAAGTGGAGTTCAAACTCTTAAGAAAGGAGCCTGTGCTATGAAATTTATTAAATAAGTCAATGAAATCTTCTTTTATGGTCTTCCAATTGCTTTGAAAAAACACATGTTGAAACTGTCTGACTTCCGGGCTTTCTCACCCTTGCAATTCATAAGCTCCTCAAGAATCTCCTCCTCCACAAACTTCCTCGTCACAGCACATTATCCTGATCGCTCAAGCGATCAAAATCCAAGTTGTCGAGAGAGGGCCTCCAAGGAGAAATCTTTGAGTACAAGACCTTGAAGTGTGACATGATTTACCGTCTCAGTTCCTCATCTCTTTAACCTTCCCACCACTCACCTCCAGCTCCTCCATGTAATTAACTCTCATGTGATGACTAGTCACACTATTAAAAAATTTTGTGTTCTTGTCCCCCTCTTTGATCCATCTTGCTCTGGCTTTCTACTTCAATTCCACTTCCTCCATAATCAATAAATTGGCCAGTTCCTGCTGAATCTTCTCCCTGTCTCCAGCTCCTCTCTCCCCGGATCTCATCCTCCAGACTATCTAATCTCTTCAACTGAGAGAATAGTTCGTCTTGTTTTCTATCAGCTTTCCCGAAAATTTTCTTACCCCACTCTTTCAATCTATTTCTTATCATGGATAATTTCTGGGTCATCCTGTAACTAGTATTGCACTGTAACTAGCATTTCTTCAGCAGCCATATGACATAAGTAGGTCACTGACTGGAGATGGATGTTCAATTTTTTTCTATCGAACCTTCTAAATGAATAGAAATTGACTCAATCTCTAGCACATGACGAAAAACAAAAGAATTTAGCCATTCAAAGCAAAGCAGCAACCCCTATATTTCAGTTCCTACAAATACCAAAGGAAAAGATGGCACTAATCTCTGCGGGTTGAAATCTAAAAAGAAACACCAAACCTTATGCATGGCCCAGATCCTGCCAGGAAGATTTCTATCAGCACGCTCAAGGGAATAACGTAACATGTCTACTATTGTCAGTTCAGTGATTGGATCATAGCTTTCTGCAAGAACATGCAATTATAGATAACTCCCCTAATTTATTAATCATGCCAATTTTTGGCATAAGAAATTGAAGAAGTACGATATAATTTCTTAATCATGCTAATTGTTGCCATAAGAAATTGTAGAAAGTACAATAACAATGAAAAATGAATCAATAGCATCACATAATCACCTGGAATGTCAAAAATTTGTTCTATAGGTGGGATACCCAGCAGCTCTCCTAAATAGACACGGATATGAGAACGGTCAGCTAGTGAAAGTAGATCACCGTGTGTGAGGATGACAGCAGGTTTATCATCTGCAGAATAAAGAAATTACCAGCAGTAAATCAGTCACAATAACTGATGCTCACAAAACAAATTGAGAAAAAATGATAATGAGGGATCAAGATACTGTAGAAAAACAATGTTTTCATTTCAAATGGCAGTTCCAATTAGATGAAGCATTTGATGACAGTTTACGTATTGCCAGTGTAGGCTGACATTTAACAGTTGAAGCAACAAAATCTTTTTAATTTTGAAAAACAAAATTTCTCCAAGCATTAGTTACGAATTGATCTTTCCTATGGATTGTATCTTATGGATGCCTGGGGCAAGGGAATCTGCTTAATGCTAAGTGGGGGCAATTAATCCCACTTGTTGAAGAAAATGTATATGTGATTTTTTTAATCAAAGATACTTTTTATTCATAGTTTTCATCATTTTGATCATTTAGTAGTAATTTTGATTGTATCAATCATAATAAAAAATGATATTGACCATAATAGTTTTTGGTAATCTTGAGCCTCTTGATAATTAGTTTTATTTATTGTCCTCACTATTATAATGTTCTACCTCCACAGCCATGGCTGCTCAGGTTCTCAATTCACTCAATATCAATGCTCAGTAATTAAAAAGTCATACGCATGAGTTCCACTAAGAATTTCGTTAGTAAAACAAAGATGTTCTTATACCTTTAAATGATAGGTATGGAGTATGGAAAGCTGATGAAATCATCTGGGTATATGACATTTCTGCGCCATTCGCACTCTCCATGGATTTCAAAACCTCAAGTCCATTAATAACAAAAATGACAAAATTAACCATCCTGATGTCACTGGACTGACAATGGTGACCACGGGCTTTGCATTTTAGTCTTTCCTTAAAAGTTTGGCTATCCGATGCCCTGACAAGTAAATTACATAAATATAGCAAATATTTGCCTCACCCTTTGAAGATTAGTGAAAATAAGCCCCTTGGTGAGCTTTCAATAAGTTGTTCAATCTCCAAACTTTATAAAGCCTTGTTTGAGGTATACCCAAAAAACATGGAAAACTTCTAAATCTAAAAAAGAAAATGCCAATTAAGTTTCGAAGATCATACCAGATGACAGGTTCTCCATGGCGTACACCTTTTGTCATCCATCGCTTTATCATATCAATGTTATCAGAAAAGCAGTTGTCCAACCCACGGGTATCATAAAGACAAAAAGAGCCTGAATATCTAGGGATCACATATTCATGTAGAAAGTATGTCCCTTCTGTAACTGATGAATTATCTGCATTGTTAAAGAAAATGCTAATTAAAACCTTTCTGATAGTAAACTGGTGAATTTACTCCACATGAAGTAGAACATCTAATTTGAGGTAAAAATATAAGAAAATCAGCAAAGCAACAAGTACATGATACTTGAGCTCTCTCTGATGCAAACTTGTCATCCTCAAACACCTTTGAAATTCGATTGATAAGACTACTTTTTCCAGATCCTCTTGGACCAATCAAAATGAGGGTTGTTGTATTTGGAACTTCATAGTTACTAAGCTTCATGCCACCAACTTTCTCAATCCACTTTCCCGGAGTGTAGCTGTATCTTTCAAACTATCATGTTAATCTAGGCAAAGCACAATACCAAACTCTAGCTTTATAAAGAGGAAAGCATAGTGCCATTAAAATTTGTTCAGAACTACTCTGTTTTCTACCAATGACAAGAAACCTAAGTCACATGATGCATGAAAATTGATTTTTGAAGACTACCTAAAGCTCTGAAAATCTAGTTGTGGCATCAAATTATATATGTAGAACAGTGTAGGCCTGGGGTTGGAATATACAAGGACACAACCCCGAGTTGCAACACTAGACTGGTTTCAGGCGAAATTGAGAATTTGATATTAATAAATTCAACTTTAGATGAAACAACAACTGAATTTTCAAATAGTTGTTTCAGTGCCTTTTTCACCTCAGAACCAATTTGTACAGCGAAGATGCAAGAACCACCAAAATAAGGTACATCATCTTTTGTAAAACAGCACTCCACTTTCAATAAGATATGCACAAAAATGAAATTCTCTTAAATCTTTATTTGAGCATAGAGTTTGAGAAACCAGGAAGATAGCTAGACTTTACTATTTTTGCATAGTTAATCTCTGTGCCATTTCTACATACCACATAAATTACCTACCTTCATTCTAGAATTAATTGCCTTTACTTCACATAGTCTATGATGTGTTTTAATATCTTTGTTCACTGACTAATTTGATAGCAAAGAAATAGCCTAGATTACAAGCTATATATCATCTATCATACTTACACTTACCAATAGAGCTTAAAATCCCAAAGTACTAAAGCAATTGCAGAACTTGAATGTTAGAAGTCTACTAAGTTCTTCCTCAGAAAGGAGAGAAAAAAATCTACTGTGAGTCTAAAAAGACTTCAAGACATCAAATTTTCGACTTAAAAAAAAAAATATTTTTAAGACCTCAAGTTAATATGTATATACTCCTACATTTCAATTTAATCCAATTCATGGTTATACATACCACAAAATCACGGCAACAATGCAAAAAATGGAATTGTGCTAAAACCAATACCTCAATATTTTGCTCTTTGCCTCACTCAAACTTGAGCTTTGCATCTCATAACTCTGCAAGATCTTTTCATAAAGATTGCGTATTCTCCTCTGCTCAGCTTCAGATTGCAAAGGAGAAGCACGACGTTGCAGACTCAGTTCATCAGGTTTCCCAGACACCAAAGCATCATAATCATCTCCGATTATTGCCCTATTCTCACCTTTTATTTTCAAGTCATCCCTAGCCGTCAAAACACTACACCACTCAATCAATATTTCAACAACAGTATATAATATTTTCAATAAGCACATTTTATTTCCTTCATATAAGAAAAAAAAAAACACATTTCACTTTCATAGAGAGAAAAAAAAAGAAGAGAAATTAGCCCTTGAGTTCTTCATGTTATAGGACCTAAAAAAGTGATCCTGACACGACACACACTATCGAAACAATACACAGCAACCCCATTTCAAAAGGTTTGAATTTTCCGGAAACCAACCAGAAAAAAGTAAAAACTCACCAAAACATTGACCTTTTTCCATATCATCACTCATCAGCCCTACTATTTCCAATCAAGTGTGAGGGGGGAACAAAAAAGAAAATCAGCAATGAGTACCTGACGATAGAGGAAATTTCAGAGAAGTCTTGGTCCGGCAGAAATTCTTCGTCTGAAACTTAAATGTGGGTTAGGATTAGCACACAAAATACAAGGGTCAAAAGAGAAGAAAAAAAACAAAGAACATAAAGACAAACCGTGACTGAAAGAGAGATTGGTAACGGTGTCACCACCCATAGGCAGTAGCTTCGTTCTGGTTTGATTTTGTTGATGATCTCCTGATGATGAGAAAACTCTCCTTTTTCTCTCGGCGAAGATGACGAGAACCTCTCCTGAGTCTTCTTAACCCAGAAGCCAACTCTTGAGTGATGAAGAAGACTTTGCCAAAGTCCAACACCTAACATGGGGTTTCTGCCACGTGTACTGATGACCACGTGGCAGCACTTTTGGTGTTCAGGTTCATATGGGTTCATATTTCAGTTTGTATTTTCTTTTCTAGCCCATTTTTGTTTTGAGATGCTTGGGCCAAATTATAGAACTCCTGTTCATAAAATATACAGAAATTTTTTTACTTCTAAAACTAAACAGAATTTCTCTTATTTTTTAAAAATAGCAATATATAACACTAATGTATTGTCTCTGGGCAGGTGGGTTTCATCAAAGATTCAACCTACCTATGTACGTATAGACATACAGGAGTGTAAATATCAACTCCATATGTACGTATACACGCTGGCCTATTTAAGTTGGCTTGGGCTTTTATATCTGATTAGCTTGACATATAACGCATAACCCATCTCCAGCTCACCTACATGTATTAGCAAACTGCAACCCAAGCTGGCATCCCATCTCCAATTAATTCTACAAATTATTTTTGATGTCGACTGTGCATTATGATTGTTTTTATCAAGAACTTGTATTATTATTGATTATGTTGTGTTTTCATTTACATATGTATACATGTATGTATGTATGTAATAGTTCGCACACTTGGCTAGCTGATTCTCGTGATACTTACCAACATTTAACGGAACGGTCTTAGGTACATAAACCGGCTGGTACGTGGTTGGTAAATTTTGTGCTGAAAAACAAACAAGGAGTGTGTGTATATATATGTATAACGTCGTAGATTTTATGAACAAAGATTTGTAGGAGGAAGAAAAAGGTAAAATGCAGAGGGAAGAGAAGAAGAATCAGCTTCATATAGTGATGTTTCCATGGCATGCTTTTGGGCATATCAGCCCATTTATACAGCTCTCTAACAAGCTCTCACTTCACGGCCTTCAAATCTCCTTCTTCTCCGCCACTGGCAACATTCCCCGCATCAAATCCTCCCTCAATCTCCTTCCAAATGTCCAAATCATCCCTCTCTCAATCCCTGACGTTCCTGGTCTCTCTCCAGATCTCCACAACACTTCTCAAATGACCCCTGCCATGGCCGAACTCCTCAAGCAAGCTTCTGACCTCATGCAGCCTCAAATTCACGACATTCTGTCTCATCTTAAACCCCATTTTATCATCTTTGATCTCATTCTAGACTGGATTCCGAAAATCGCTGCCGAACTTGGCATTAAAAGAATCTCCTTCTCTGTTTTCTCCGCCATTGCTGGTGCTTACCTCACTGTTCCTGCCAGGCTGATTAGTGGACATACTCTTGATGATTTGACCAAACCACCCGACGGGTTTCCGGCAACCTCTGTTACTTGTGTCAAACGTTTTCAGGCTCGAGATTTTTTGTATATGTTCAAGAGCTTTGACGGCCGCCCTGGTGTCTTCTACAGAGTCATTGACTGCTTGCGTAGCTGTGACGCCGTGGCCATGAAGACATGCGAGGAAATGGAGGGTCCTTACGTGGATTTCATGAAGACCCAGTTTCAGAAACCGATTCACTTGACCGGTCCCCTTGTCCCCGACCCACTGTCCGGCGTGCTGGAGGAGAAATGGGCAAACTGGTTGGGTCAGTTCCCGGACAAGGCCGTGGTTTTCTGTTCTTTTGGGAGCGAAACGTTTATGAACCAAGAGCAGATAAGAGAAATAGCTCTTGGATTGGAACTCACTGGGTCGCCATTCTTTCTTGTTCTGAACTTTCCCGGCGGTGTTGACGGGCTGGCGGAGCTTGAGAAGGCTCTGCCGAAAGGGTTCGTGGAGAGAGTGAAAGGGAAAGGTTTGGTGCACGTAGGTTGGGTTCCACAGCAGCTGATTCTGGCTCATAAAAGTGTGGGTTGTTATGTGTGCCATTCAGGGTTTAGTTCGGTGATAGAAGCATTGATGAACGATTGCAGGCTAGTACTGTTGCCATTCAAGGGTGACCAGTTCCTGAACTCCAAGCTCATAGCTCTGGATTTGAAGGCTGGTGTGGAGGTAAATAGGGAAGAAGAGGAGGGGTATTTTGGGAAGGAGGATATTTGTGAAGCTGTTAAAACAGCAATGGCAGATGATGGATCCATTAAAGAGAATCACGAGAAGTGGAGGGAGTTTCTGGTGAATGAAGAAATCCACAAGAAGTTCATTGCTGATTTGGTTGAGCAAATGAAAGCCATGCTTTAGTTTAATTTAATTAAGCCTCTTTCTTGTAGGCACTCCTTAAGAAGGTTTTAAAAGTTAAATGTTTTTCTTAATCTATATTTAGTGAAATTAATAATTTCTAATATGATAAGTGTAATAACAAAATTCTCAAACATTTTATTACGAAATAAAATTTTATTAAATAAATAGAACATTGTTGGAAGTTGTGTTTCTCTAACAATTACTCCAATTAAATATACATATATATATATATACATATTTTATTATAAATTTTCAATTAAAATCTAAATAAACGGAGAATAAATTATGAGATCTAAAGATATTTATGCTTTTATAAGACGTATAAAATATTTATTTTAAAATTTATTATTCTTGTAGTTATCGTCCTAATAAATACTCCTGTCTGGTGTCTCCCTGCGTGAGCCCACATTAAAATTGCTTTGAATATATCTCTGTCGATTTCTCCAATTTACTACGACTTCCCATTTTTCCTTGTAGTTGGTACGTTTATAAATGTTCTTTTATTGATTCGTACTTCATTAATTAAATTGTTGAAATGTAAAAAGTCTGACAGAATTCCAGATGCAATCAGTTGATTAATTCAAAGGTTTTTAAAATCAAGTTTTAAATTCCAAATTTTTTCAAGTGAGAGTTCTTGATGTACAATGAATAAATAAAATTAATTTATGCTGGTTGGTTTCTTTATAAAAAAAAAAAACCAACTAAATCTTTTTTTTCACCCTTCGTAATCACTTAAGACAGCAGCACGATTTTGGTTTTGTGGGAGCCATAGCCAAACATTATTCGACTATTCATGGTGAGCTTTAAAAAACTTTAGGTAGTCTTTTTTCAGAGATGAAGACAACATTAACACCAAAATGAAAAATAGGAACGACGTGGAACAGAAATGAGAATCTGTCAACGTATTTTTTCTCCAAGATACACGGTTTCTCTACTCCTTACTAATTATAAAAATGCAAAAATAAAGGAAATTTCATTCTCACTGTCACATTAACCAGACCATATATTTCTGGCTCCGATGTATGTATTGTTTTGGGACAACAAGTTACTCAAGTTTCAGTATAAAATGTGTATTTGTTGATTATAAAAATGGGAACCTACAGATTCTGTCAGAAGCTAGTCCCAAGCAAAATTGAAGTGATTGCTTTGGACGACAATGGCACAATGGGGCGGTACTAAAATTAAGCTTTACAAGAAAAAAAAAAAAAAAAAAAATTAAATTACAGATACTTTCTACAAGAACCCTCTTTATTGGATATTTCCAAATTAACCGAATCAAAGGTAATGACCTTGTCGGAAGGGGGAGGACATGGCCAACAATGGACGATCCAAGATATTCGGCTGCAGTGATCCAATTGTGAACCCAGCTGATTGCGGAACTCCTATTGATGGATGTGGAATGGAACTGCTGAGGAGGTTAGACAGGTGCAAACAACAAAGCAGTAAGTCAGGTTACTTGATAATGCTAAAGTGATTAGACCATGTAATGAACTAAAGATAACCTTCTGGTATGTACAGGCAGTAACATAAATAATCAAAACCCCACCCCTGACCCCAAAGTTTACCATGTGTACCATTTTTACTGTAAAGGACATACTACAGCCATGGACTGACCTGAACGACAGAGACAAGGATGATTCAACTGGGGTGTGAATTCTATTTTGATCAGGAGAAAGCAGCGACCAGAAAACTGTGACACGAAGAACCAACAGCTAAT